GGCTAGCGCTCTACCACTTGAGCCACAGCACCACTTCTGGCTTTTTTCTTTTTGCTTATGTGGTGCTGAGGAATCGAACCCAGGTCCTCATGCATGCAAGGCAAGCGCTCTACCACTGAGCCACCTTCCCAGCCTCAGGAAAGTCATTTTCAATCATCTTTGATGATCTTCTTTGTTAATCAATCATCTTTGGTTGCTTCTTGAAATGTTCAAAATTTTCCTAGAGATGTTTTAAAGAACTAGGATTAAAATATTAAATGCAAATCTAATAAAACTGATTATTGGCTTCAAAAAAGTGTCTTAGGAATTCCAAAGTTATACTGAGTGTATAGTAATAATGTATATGTGTTCTTTCTGAAGTGATCTAGAGAATGATTAGAATAACTCAAGGACATAGTTATTCTTTTCCTCTTTCAGGAAAACAGAAGAATAGTATCAACTTTATCCTAATATTGTTCTGTTTTAGTTTTTAAATAGTCAGACTTTTTAATCAGTACTCTGCATGACCATAGGCACTTTCTTAGTTTTCATTTCTTCATAGAGCCAACTTAGGAGTTACCTTCTTTTTTTTTTTTTTTGTCGGTTATAGGGCTTGAACTCTGGCCTGGGCACTGTCCCTCAGCTATTCAGCTCAAGGCAAGCGTTCTGTGACTTGAGTCACAGTGCCACTTCCGGTTTTCTGGTGGTTAATTGGAGATAAGATTCTCACAGCCTTTCCTGCCCAGGATAGCTTTGAACCGAAATCCTCAGATCTCAGCCTCCTGAGTAGCTAGGATTACAGGCATGAGCCACTGATGCCCAGCTAAGTTGCCTTCTTTTCTTTGGTCAGGTAAACCTCTTCAGTTGACTCTTCAGGCTTGTGATGTCAAAGGAAAAGAAGACAAGTCAGGACCTGAAAACCTCCTTGTGGAACCATGGACAAGGGATGGTGAGTGATGGGTCCATCTACTTGTAGCGTAGAAGTAGGTAAGCTGTGAAGCCACTTTTGGTGTGGGTGACTTTCAGATGTGTAGTCTTTGCCTTAGCTTGTTTTTAGTTGGTGATATTTCTGAACACTTACTCCTGTTTAACTGTAAGCTGTCTCAGTACTAATGACCTGTATAAATGTGCAAATATTCAAGAGCCTGAGGGCTATTTAATACTGCAGTTCTGAAAGCATGGACATGGATTTCTCTTGGAGTAGAAATACTATTTTTGACCATGTTTAAGTTTAGTTTCTCTTTCGGTTGTGTTAGCTTAAAGTATTAAGAAACACAGTGGCTCAGTACCATACTGCTGGAAACATAATGAGGCAGGCATTTTCCAATACATATGCTGTATTGGGAGGAAGACTCTTTTGTTCCCTGAAAGGAAAATGTAACCCAGGCACATGGGTTACAAAGACCACATGGACAAGGTCACATAGAGGAAAAGATTTATTGCTAGTAGAGCTGACAAGACCAAGTTCTCATGAGGAAAGGGAAAAAAAATGGCACCATCTGGCTCCTTAGAGGCCCCTTTTACACAACTGGGGGCTGGTGGTGTTTTACCTGAGGCAGAAGGTGGGAGGTGCCTCACCTGCCCCACAGGTGCTGCCATCGAAGACGGAGCTTAGGCCTGTGAAGGGGCATTTGCTGACTTACATTTCCCCCCTTTTTGGTTTAATATGCAGTACTGTGCAGGGAGTGGGGGCAAAGGTCTTCTCTTCTGGAGCTACTTCTTGCTGAGAAGCTACTTCTTGGCTACAGTGCCAATCAGGGGAGAGTCAGGTACTGTACATAAAGCTGACCAAGGTCTTGATGGCCAAGGGATTTTACTTGTCCGCGGCAGGGCCCTTTGATTTCTCAGTGACTGGAAATAGGGGTCTGGTTGGCTTGGAGGTATATGAGGTCCGTTAGGCAGGTGATGTTTAACGTGGCAGATGTGAATCCAGTGTGGACCTACAAGGCTGTGGGAGTATAGAGAGATACTAAGTAGGGTCCCTCCCACTTAGCAGAGAGCTTGGTGGAACCAGGTGCCCGTGCAGGTAATTTCTTCAAATGTACACTAGGTGCCAGCATTGATAGGACTCAGGAAGAAGTTTAGTTTGGAGGAAGGAGAGAAAGAAAGAGAAAGCATCTACATAGCTGACCTCCTTTAACCTGCCCTACCACCTAAAGAAGTCTGATAGATCCCGTATAAATACCAGGATCCAGTGTCCCATGAATGGGCCATGTGGACTTATTGTTCAGTGGATATTCAGGCCAGATCTCGGTACAGAAGTATATGAGCTCCTGTAAATCAATGTCAGATTCAACTTGAAGCTCTTTTAGATTATTTAAGAGACAACCCAAGGGGAAGTCCTGAGGAATGTCAGGAATATTAGATTGTGTCCCACTCATGGTAAGTGACCTGGGACCAAAAGCTTGTTGCAGAGTGTCCACAGCAGTGCAGTTTGGCTCAAAAATTGGGAAACAACCAGTGGGAAATGTCATCACGTTTCTCCATGGTGTCCCTCAGCCATGTAGGACTTCAGAAATATGACTTAGATACTTGGCTAAGTTTTTCTGAGGGGCAGGGAGGGAGGGGCAGGGGGAGGACCCTGAAGCCCCTCAACAGATGCACTGAGCCTGCACAGTGAAATCTAAGCCTCTAGATTCTTTATTACCTGGAGGTAGCCGCTGGCAGACATGTAGGAGGCATTCGGTCAGTAGGAAACAAGCTCTCTGCGGTCTTTTGAGTTTGCCTAGGACCGTGGGTTAGGTCCTGGGGTTGCTGGCAGGGCCCTCCCGGTTGTTGGGGGGAACGAATCCACTGGGGAGCCTATCCCCATATGGGCCACCAAAATGAAAGGAAAATGTAAAGGCAGAAAGTAATCCAAAAGACCACCTGGACAAGGTCACATTGAGGAAAAGATTTATTGCCAGGCCAAGTTCTCTTGAGGAAAGGGAGAAAACGGCGCCATCTGGCTCCTTGGAGGCCCCTTTTACACAGCTGGGGGCTGGTGGTGTTTTACCTGAGGCAGAAGGTGGGAGGTGCCTCCCCTGCCCCACAGGTACTGCCATGGAGGGTGGGGCTTAGGCCCATGAAGAGGAATTTGCTGACTTACAGTGCTAACATAAAAATTGCAGGTAAGGGCTGGGAAGGTGGCTCAGTGGTAGAACGCTTGCCTTGCATGCCTGAGGCCCTGGGTTCCATTCCTCAGCAATACATAAGCAAAAAGAAAAAAGCCAGAAGTGGTACTGTGGCTCAAGTGGTAGAGCGCTAGCCTTGAGCTGAAAAGCTGAGGGACAGCACTCAGGCCCAGAGTTCAGGCCTCACCACCAGGGGAAAAAAAAATTGCAGGTATTACCCCTGTAATCCTAGCTACTTGAGAGGCTGAGATCTGAGGATCCTTACCATTGAGCCATGCATGCTCTAGGCCTCCTCCTCTTTAAGAGAAGACCCTTCCAAATGTAGGAAAAAAAAGAGGAGCTGGGAAGGTGGCTCAGTGGTGGAGTGCTTGCCTTGCATGCATGAGGCCCTGGGTTTGATTCCTTAGCACCACATAAGCAGAAAAAGCTGGAAGTGGTGCTGTGGCTCTAGTGGTAGAGCGTTAGCCTTGAGCTGAAAAGCTGAAGGACAGCACGTAGGTCCAGAGTTCAGGCCCCATGACTGACCAAAAAAATAAAAAATAAGAATAAAATAAAAATCAAAGTAGAGGTGTGTCAACTTTGAGGATGGCCCTGAATTCAAGCTCTTGACTTCTTAGCCTGGGGTGTTTATGAGTCTTTTTTTCTTCCATCTTTGTGGCTACCAGTATCCTCCATATTCCTTTGTGGTAGTCTCTGTAATGCTTTGAATCTTTTTTTCTTTTTTCATACTTTCTATTGTTATCATAAAGGTGATGTACAGAGGGGTTACAGTTACATAAGTCAGATAAAAGAATATTTCCTTTTGAACAATGTTACCCTTTCCCTTGCTTTGAATCTTGATGAGTCAATAAAGAATGTATAATGTTCTAGCACTTAATATGAAAATGGCCTCTGCGAATGTATAATTTAGTGCGGTACCCATCGTAATCACAATGTCATTCTTCATCAAGATAGGGAAAACAATAAAAAAAAAATTCATATGGAACCAAAGACCCAAATAGCCAAAACAAATTTTAGGGAGAGGGGAGCACTATCAGAAGTATCCCAGTTCCAGACCTCAAACTTTACTAGGATCTTTAATAACAAAAACAGCAAAAAGCCTGAAGACCAATGGAACAAACTGGAAGAACCAGAAATTACCCATATACTTACAGTCATCTGAAATTTGACAAGGAAGCCAAAAATATATGTTGGAACATATTTCCCAACAAATGATGTTGGGAAAACTGAACATCTATATTTGGAAAACTGAAATTGGATCCCTGTCTGTCACCTTTCACTAGTGTCAAAATAAAATGGATCAAAGACTTCAATATCAGACCTGAAAACTTGAAACTTTGAAACTACTGGAAGGAGTAGAAGAAACATTAGAATTTAGTGGCCTAGGGAGGAACTTTATGAGTAGTATACCAGGGCTTAAACTTAGGACCTCCTAAGCTCTCACTCAGCCTTTTCGTATTCTGCCACTTGAGCCTTGCCTGTAGTCGTATAATTGATTCTTTTAAATACAGTTATCCAAACATCTGGGAAAGGTGACAGATCAATAATTAGGATGGTTTTTAGTAATAATACATTTTTTGGTATTTTAGTTTCTTGAACTTGACAGAATCATGTAATAACTTGTCTCTGAATTTAATTTTCTTGGATTTTGGTGACAAATTTTGCATATTGTCTTACAGAGATTTGACCTCATAAATCTTTGGTTTGTCAAACTCTGTACTAAGCATAAAATTGATTTTTGTCTTTCATCTTGATAAACATAATGGTTAAGAATAGTTTAGAGAGAAAAAGGAAAGGGGTGACATTGTACAAAAAAAAATGTACTTTTGCCTGGTGCTGGTTGGCTCCTGCCTGTAATCCTAGCTACTCAGGAGACTGAGATCTGAGGATCACTATTCAAAGCCAGCTTGGGCTGAAAAGTCCCCAAGACACTCTTAATCTCTAATGAACAACCAGGAAACAGGAAGTGGTTCTGTGGCTCAAAGTGGCATCCTGCAAGCCTTCAGCAAAAGAGTTCAGTGACAGTACGCAAGCCCTGAGTTTAAGCCCTGACCAGAGAGAGAGAGAAAGAGAGAGAGAGACTCTACCTGACTTATATAACTGTAACCTCTCTGTTCATCATCTTTATAATAACTAATTTTTTTTTAAAAAAAGAATAGGGTCCTGGGGAGAATGGTTATCTGGCACTGACTTGAACATTTGCATGTGCTGTATCATTTGGATTTTAAAAAAGACATTCTTGAGTCTAACAGAAGAGCTTTTAGTGAGTTGTTAAAGAACAAAGCAAATGATGACTCCCTTACTAATATAAATGATTACATGTCAGATTTCTTATGAATTAATGAAGATACCCGTAAGATATTCCTAAAAGGAACAAAAAAAAGTTCAAGAGAATTGAGATACACAGACCAAGAGGAATGTTGAAATTCATTTACAATTAGCTAGGAATTTGCTCAGCATCTATAAAGAATGACCACCTTTATTTCCTCAGAAAATAATTTTTATTTCTGTGAGAACATTTGTATTACTATCAATATTGTACAACTGACAGAAATATAAAATAGCTAAGAAACAAGAAAAGGTGGAGATGAATTTAATTTTGGTATTAATTGTGTTAGGAAGGGTACTCAGTAATTTTTTGCCCATTTCAGTGTCTCTCACAGCCTTCCCCAACAGAATGCTCTAGAAGCTAACTAGTCCCTTTTTTCAGCCTCTAAATCTGCTTACCTTCATCAGCCCTATTAACTTAGTCAAACATAAGTCATTATTTTAGGTATGGCCCAGGAAGATGATTGTCCAGTTTTCATTCTCTCTGATTTAAAGTCACAGCCTTATGTAATTCTAGCTACAAGGAGGGAAGCAAGAAAGCTGGCCTATGATCAAAGCATAAGAGCCTATCTGAAAAATAAGCAAAAAGGAATGGGGCCATGGCTTAAGTGATAGAGTGCCTGAGTGCCCTAACATCAACCCCAGTCCCACCAAAAATATAAAACAATAGAGGTCATATTATTTATAAACATATTATTTATAAACATTGTTCAGGTGGTTGTGTCTGTACAAAAAGGTAAAAAAAATTGTGTGATGCTACTAAATATGCTATTTTTTTCTTCCAAATAGGCTAGTTATCCTTTGCTTTTGTTGATCTTAAACCTTAGGGTTTTAAACTCCTCATTTTTCTTTTTTTCAGGTTTTCTTACAGAGACTGGAAAAACCAGAGCAAGTACTATTTTTTCTACAGGAACTGAGTCTGCCTTCCAAGTTACACAGATAAGAATTATGGTAATTCTCCTATGTTCTTTTTACTACTTTTGGGTAATATATTACATATCAGCGGTCCATATCATTGATTTTTTATTAGGTATTTGTTATTACTTTGTCTCAAGCCTATAACAGAAGTGAGGGATATAAACATGGATATCTTTGTAATTCTTTGAAGAGTCTGTAAGGATGGAGAAAGTGAAGGAACATTCCTTGGGAAGTAGCCTTGTTTTTCCATGACTTGATATATATTCAGAATTATTTCATTGGTTTTGTTTTGCATCATGTGGTTAAAATTTAACTGTATTAATTGGAAGCAGAAGTTTTGCCCCTTTCATGTTCTCCATCTTGCTGTCGGTTTCCAGGTTCGACGTGGTGGTATTGGTGCTCAATGTGGGCTGGTATTTGCTTATAACTCATCTTCTGATAAATTTAATGCAGAAGAACATTTCAAACGCTTTGAAAAATATGACAGATGGAAACTTCAGGAGCTCAGGCAATTTGTAAAACACAGGTAAGAACTA